AGGTGTACGTTTCCAATACAGTTCCAGATCTCACCCCAGATACCTAAGGGTATATCAGAAAGGCTAGAGGGGTGTGTGAAATCCGAGATATAGAACCCTCAGCCGCACCATTATGCCTATCTCAGTAGTACATATCAATATTTTACATGTATTCATACTTATTCCATTAGCCAACTCATCTATTGAATGCATGTAGTATAAATGTGTTTATGTGCGCATGTTTTTATCAGAGCATGGAGAAGAAGGGATAGCTCTAGTTTAAGGATTTGTTTAGGTTTAAGATAGCTCAGTCGTCGTTGACTGCGGTTGAAGCTGCGATTTTGGTTATTTGGGGAGAGACGGCGTCATTAGTAAGGTGGAAGAAGGATAAAAAGTGTAAGTTTAAGGAGTTGAGTGAGAACAACTAAAAGGTTTTTAGGTTCGAGTTTCCTGGGTTTTGGTCGAAGACAGTCGGAGGGAGGAGAAGCATCGGTGAATGATGACTAAGCGGTGGTCGAGCTCTGTCTCTAGTGTCGGCAGTGTATATGGAGAAGAAGGGAGAGATAAGAGAAACAAAAAGAAAAGAAGATATGGTGTTAGGTGTCGTTTGGTTAAGTTTTGTTTTATCTCGCCGTCATAAGAGATGATTAAGGGGGCAAGCGTCGCCAGAGCACGGTGGTTAGTGAGGAGCTCTCGGTCGGTTTGGGTAAGCAAATAGGGATGTTTAAGAAAGGAGAGAGTGAGAGAAGAAACAAAATGATGGAGGCGGTTGTTCTGTTTAAAGTTGGGTTAGGGTTTATTATTTGGTTATAATATGGTGTGTGTGTGTGTAGGGTTTGGGGTTAATTTTATTTTAATCCTTGTAGTTCCTTTGCGTTTTTACGATATAGTCATTGGTTAGTTCCCTTTTGAATTTATTTCAAATTGGAAGGCATGTTAGTGTTAAATTCCCTTTTTATTTTGTTGATAGTTACTAAGGCTATAAAAGGGAAAACAATGCATAAGTCCCCCGAATTTTAGCGTGAATTTGCACTTTAGTCCTCTATTATGTGTTTTTTAATTTACTTCAAATGTTTTGTCCTAATTATGTAGTTTTACATTTTTAAGGAGTTTAGTTTTTAGGTGTAATAAAGTGTAAAAATCATGCTTTAGTCATTCTAATTTAGGTTTGTTTTCCATTTAGGTCACTATTTTAATCCTAAAATTGCATGCTTAATTTTTAACTAATTTCCATTTTAGTCACTATATTGAAATAGATATGGTTAGATTAAATTAGTCCTTGAATTATTCTATTTTTTTTAATTTAATCCTTAGATTAATTAGCCCTAAATTTAATTTGTTTGATAAATTTATTTAGTAAGCTGTAAATAATTAATTATTCTTTAAAATCAATTTTGTAAAGTTTTAACACTTTTTTACTTGTTTAAATGCATGTTTCTTTTATTTATTTTCCTTAAGTTTAAAAATTATTAGTTTTTAGGATTAATCTTCTAGTATAGACTCTTTTAGTTTAGTCCATAATTAGGACCTAGATTTTAGATTCTAACCTTAGATTTGGACTTTCGACACTTAGTCTTTTAATTTAAAGAATAATCCAATTTCTCTTTCGCATTAAGATGTATGTTTGTTAAAATTGATTATTCGATTTCATAATTGGTTAAAATTAATTAACGTAATAATTAGAACCTCAACTTTATATTTTTTACAATTTAGTCATTTAGATCTTTAATTAAATATTCTTTTGACATAATTAATTAGGTTAATAATTAGAACCTCAATTTTAGATTCTTCACAATTTAGTCCTTAAACTTTTTAATTAGATACTTTTTAGCATAATTAATTAGATTAATTATTAGAGCATAAATTTTAGATTCTTTACAATTTAGTCCTTTAGATCTTTAATTAGATATTCTTTTAACATAATTGATTAGGTTAATAAATAAAGTCTCCACCTTAGATTTAATTTTACCTTAGTCCTTTAATTTAGGGAATAATTTGATCTGGATTTCGCATTAAGATGCCTGATTGTTTAAATTTATTATTCAATTCAATAATTGGTTAAAATAAATTAGGATTAATAATAGAGACTTTTTTTTAGGTTTAGTCCTCTAGGTTCTTTAATTTTTGTTATTTGACACTTTAAATTAGGAAATCTTAATTAACCCACCCAACATAATTAGGTCTGTAAATGGTGTCTGATTGCATCTTGATTTTAAAATAATAAGTCAATGTTCATTTATCAAGGAAATAATAGTGTATCCTCCGCATTATGCTAGTGGGTGGACATTGGTAATTCCCAAAGTAAATCAACATCCTTTTCAAAACTCCATATCATGATTTATCAATCTTTATGGCAATGTTCGTTTATTGCAACCAATAATTGAGCTTTTGCGTAAATGCTTGAGAGTGAATGTTATTGATCTCAATAAATGATGATCCTTTTCAAATTTGCATCCATAATGATTTTTAAATTAAATAAAACCTCAAACTCAAATTTTTAAATTTTAAATATATGGTAATCGACTATGTACCAATTTCTGGGGGGTGTGAGGACGCTAACTCTTCCCCACGCGTAACCGACTCTCAAACCTGTTTTCTAGTTTTTGCCGACCCAAATTTAGTATTTTTGATAAAATAAAATGTTTTATTAAAATTACCTGATTTTTAGTGTTCCATTCGCACCTTAAAAATGGTTGGAGGTGACTCCCAACATTTCATTTCAAAACAACTCTATCGTTGCAACTAGTCGGCTTTTTCCCCAAAAGACCGGTTGCAACAAACACCTATTCGTGAAAAGCGGTATAATTTAGGCACTTATTTTATATTTAAGCCCCCACACCCCTCCCCCCACCAAAAAAAACTAAAAATAAAAACAAGGCAAGGCAAGTCAAGTCCAAGACTAGGGTTGTAAATGAGAAAAGAAAAATAGTGAGCTACTCGGTCAAAGTTTGATAAATACTCGACTCAAGTTCTTACCGAGTAGAAACAAGTTACTTGATACTCAACTCGAAAAGCTCGTGAGCAAATTAAAAAAATATTAAAATTGTATATTTTTTAAAAAAAATATTGAAATTGTATTTTTTTTAAAAATTAAATGATTAGTAATATTAACATTTATGTGTTGATTTTTTTAAAATACAATATAATATTTTCATGTACTTAAAGTTCATGTTTAAGATCAAGTTTAAGCTTCAATCGAGTTAAGTTTCATTTCTTTTATTTCGAGCCTTTTCAAGCTTTTTTGAACTTCAATTCATGGTTTCGAGTTCAAATCGAAAATAAAAATTTTAGACTCGTGAATTTTTGAGCTAAGTCAAGCTCAACCATACTTGAGGTCGGCTCGGCCCGTTAACAGCCTTATTCAAGACTTTTGGGTTTCTTCATTTGAGTTTTCCCCCATTGATGATATCTTCTTCTTTTTTTACTGCAAAGTGATATTTGGAATGAAAAACTAAAATCTCCAAAACCTCAACTTCGTCCATGTTTACATGATTTCGTCCATGTTTCTGTGGGCCAATATTTTGATCGCCGAGGCTTTCATAAAAAATTAGAATGAAAGGCCGCGCTTAAAAAAAAGTTGGGTCGAATTATCAATGTGGGTATATACCAGACTCAAATTTAGGATTTGATCTGTATATTTTAATTTAATTATTTTTGGTGAACAAGAGTTTAAATTAACTAAAAATCAAACCTGCCCAACGACAATACAATCAAAATGTAAAAAGGATAGAGTTTCAATTGGAGGATCCATGAAAACCTGAAATTCAATTGTACCAATATTCACAAGTTTAACTAGTGTATCCACGACCGTGTTGACTGCTCGGGTATATTATGACCAATGAAGATCGTCCAATTCCTTTTTACAAGCTCACATATTCTACTCGTGAGCGTGCTTAAATGTTGTCTTGTTTCAGTTGTTTGCAGTTCTCGAAACACCTCCAAATTATCCAACTTCATGATAACTCTCCTTTCGCCTAGCCTCCACGCTTGTGATAGTCCTTCATACTCTCCATACTACAACTCAAATTACAGAGCAAAATAATACGAGTTTTCACTAAAAATCAACTTTGTACTTTCAATAAACCTGACACCAGAGTTCATGTATCAATTTATTCATCCTATACACATATAACTGCGAGATCTATCTTATCCACTTGGTAAAGTTAAAGAAGATAGGTAGGCGTTATTATGTGTGTGTATATATATACTGCGTGAATAGGGGTATTCACCATTCAACATGGTTCAAATTTTCCTTATCAGGTTGCGTAAGCTTCAATGAAAAGTTCCCGATGTTGCCCTTCAACTACTGATACCTTCAATTCACTACTCTTTAAGGTTGATATCATCTGTTTTCGGTTTGGACTCTCGTTTTACCGACTACTAACTAGTGGTTGATCCTTCACGCAGTAATATCTGCCCCGCAAAAGTAGATATGTTAATCTGATATCAGTTGCTGGTTCTAAGCATTCATTTTTGCTTCCATCTCACATTACCCTAAAAGAACTATCATCATTCAAGTCCATCCTAAGTGTTAGTAAATCTTACTCTTCCTCTGGAGTTCACAGATGCAAGTAGCCAGGATACAGGGCAAACTTAATTTCAAATTCTAAATGTGGTGAATTTCATGCAAATGAACTTTGATAACCATTGAACGCAGACCTGCAAGAAACCTATTTTACAAATGCACAACACATCTTGCAGAAAGCATTTCTAAATGCTATTGCTACAATGCAGAAAGGTGAAAGTCAATCCATGCATTGTGAGAACATACATAATATTTTGAAATTGACAACATAAAATGACACTTATAATATGAAAACGTCTACTCATCTTGGAAGCTCCTTTTCCGAAGCAAAATGCATTGTGATAGATTAAGTTTTGCAGATATGTATACGGCACTCGTGCTAGCTTGCAAATTACAAACTCCCAAAGATATTAAAGGAAAGGCAAGCAATAAGGAGAATCAGCTGGGAATCCTTGGATGAATTCTTTGACAGAGATAAGAATACATATGAGGACCAGTTACAATTGTCTTGATGTGCTTGAAAAATGCAACAAGCAAGGACTCAGAAGCGAATGAGTTGGCCAGAATATTTGCAGAATAAAGAATCCACGAGTATCCTTAGAGTATAAGGTTATTGCTTCTATCTTGCGTTTGCATATATATGATGGAAAATATGTTGTACAAAACAAGGGTAGCTGATGTAGTTCACATCTTGACGAGTTGGTCATCATACTAGTACGAAGTGGTCAACTTTTCCTATGTCTGAACATGTCCCATAGTGTCAACATGCAGACCTTATCAATCATTGGAATGTTGGTTACCAGTTGCTAACATGGAGGATCTAAGCAAGTTGGTTCATGCATCAACTCTGTTCCTTTAATAGGTTCTGTTCACAAAAAACAACTGCATGATGCAAAATGGCTTTGTAAGATCATCCTCACAGGATTACAAAAGGATAAGAGTGCTTGTTTCTAGGAAGGATAAAGATGGAAGTTCAGTTGAATACAAAAATGGTTTAGAAACAATATTCTTGTAAGACAAGAAGAGTAAATGGTTTGCCAGCAAGTCAACAATCATGAAAAGCCAGCATTATAGCCCATTGTCAGAAACAGATGGTTCGAATTTCATAGCATGTCATTCAAGAGGTTATATTTGTATGCAAACTAATTTCACATTTCATGTTAGATACTTCTATGGTTCCTTACTACCATATGGCAAAGATGAGAGTAGTAAATATCTGGTAAGAATTAGCAGTGATACAGTGGAAATGACCTAATGCGAATTATACTGCCTTAGACCAACCTTCAACGCACATCTATATTCCAGTTTTGTTCATTGCTCAAATTGTGGTATGATAGTGTTAGCTTAGGAAAGCAAATATTGTCTGCCAATACTTCAGTGCTTCACAATTAAAGCACCTTTAAGTTATTTTAAACTGGTAATTGCCTATGATTTTAAACGGACAGTATGTTCAGATTTCCTCAAATGATCATTCTCTATTCTTCCTTGTATACGAATACCCAATCAACCATGGGCACGACTACAGTTCCTACATCCACAGGATCCAGCCATTGCCAAAGTCATTTAAGGTTTGTAACTGTTCAAATATGAATTCCTTCTTAAAGACCAATCCAGAGATCACATCAGTGTGCAAAACTTAACTCTGCATAATGAACTTAAAAAGACACTGGAGCTCACTGAACATTTCAAAAGAAATAAAATATTATTTGTCCATAACAAATATTGAATCAGATAGCTTGCAACCTTGGCAAAAGTGAGCGAGCATGTGCCATTAATAATCATAATCTGGTCAATTCATTTTATTCAAAATGTTTTTTTTTTTGGGGGGGGGGGGATCTTAACATTCAATTAACAAAGAGAGCTTCACCCAATATGAGAATCACCAAAAAAGCAACAACAAAAAATTCAGCAAGCATAGTTTAGCACTTCCCTAACTCCAAAGCTCAAACAGTCCAATAACTTCATTACATTGCACAATTAGCAATTGCATACCTGTTTGCAGCTAGTACACAAAAGGTATGAATTTCCACCTAACTTTACTCGCATACTCCAAGTAGCTCTCTCCAAAAGTCTCTACCATTAGAACCTCCTCCAAATTTGCTTTCTGCTCATAATACAGCAAACAAACTGCTACATTGAATAACAAGCTAAGAGGTGCTCTAAGTGCAAGGCAATAAGTTGCAAATAACAGCATTGTAGATGCGTATATCGGATGCCGAACCCATCTGTATGGCCCAAATTGGACAACAGCAGTTGGCACCACTATCTTCTCTGAATACTTCGCAAGATACAATGTTGAATTATATTGCATCAAAAGAGTTACCACAATCAGTATCCACACTCCAATGTTGCTCCAACCTCCTGGGACTCGATGAAACTCTGGAGCTTCAAATGCAGCGAGCCAGTGCCCAACCATGACTCCAACACAGAACAAAAGGCGATACCATTTGGGTGGGTTCACATCCCACTTAGGATCATATGGACGGGCATAATAATCTCCGTACAATCGTTTTCTTACACTAACATTGAAGAAAAAGAAATAGTGGTATACAAAGAAGAAGATAAAGGGCCAACCTTCAAGATATCCATTGAAATAAGCAGGGGGTACTAGAGTTAGCCAAGTGAATACTGAAGTAACAATTGCAAGTTGCTCTACAATGCTTGCTTCACCAATCGAATGCTTTCTAAAAGCATACAAACCATATAAAGCAAGGGCTATAGCTACAAACCATGGCCAGAACAACCAACTCCAGCTGAAGTACATCCAAAAGAAAGGATTAAAACTACATTACCAGTCCATTTGGTAGCTGCAACTCCAAGTGAAACAATAGAAGCCCATTTGACAATCTTTGTAGGCGTTAACTCAGAAAGAGCTGATTTAACTGAATCAAAAGAGAGGTTTTTGAAGGGTTCAAGCAAAGGGTTTCGAGAATCTGAGCTCGGAATGTTGGAAAATGAGCATTTGAGAGGAGACAAAAACTGGGTTCTTGTTGTTTTCCGAAGCGTTGACGGTGAAAGACTCAAACTAGATGCGTTTCGGATAGGTCTGAGGCTCTGTTGAGAATAACAGCCCTTGCTTTGAAATTGTTTGTTGAAATGCCTGCAAGAAATTATTCGGTTGCATTTCGAATTGAAGCCAAAAGGGACAGTTCTCGGCTGCAACAACACTGAGGCAGTTTCCATGGATTGTTTGAACAAATAGAGGTGCAAAAAGAACAGTTATGGAAATCTACGATGAGACATTTGGCGTCTTCTTCAAAGATAAAATGAAGAAATCTCTTCCGCAGCTATCGACAATTCGCAGATTAGTAGCTGCTTAAGACGGATCTTAGGCCCAATTACTTTCACAATGGCCTATCATATTTTCTTCGGTTTACAATATTTTTTTTATCACTAAGATGTTTGAATGATGTTGGTTTAATTGTGTGAATATTGGTTGAATTGGTTAATTCTCAATTTGATTTTTAAATTTTAAATAAAATATTAATTTGATTATATATTTTATATAAAATATTAATTTAATTCTTAAACTTAAAATAAACATGATTTCAACTCTGAATTCTATGAAATCTCATGTTGTCGGTTAAAAAATTAAATTATTTATTTAAAGTTTAAGGATCTAATGAACAAATATTATAAATCGACAAGGTAAAAATATATTTTTAAATTCGGTGACAAAAAGTAAATAAGAACAAAATTAAAGCAACCATTTTGACAATTTACTTTTATTACTATTATTTTTTTAACAATGATAATTGGATTTCATTAATAAAAATAATAAAATTCTAAGAAAAATTATGAATAATAGTCACATCAAAAATTATACATAAAATAAAATATTAAATCTATAGATATGAAGAAAATAAAACATTCTATTGAGAATGACGTCCAACATCAAAACAATACAGACATTATTAAAACTCATTATCTCTGACGAACTAGATGCTTTACAAATGATAAAGGAGTGGTGAGCAAACTAAATAATTTGACAGGCTTCTTTTCTATATAATCTAATTACATCGGCAAACAACCTTTTACCGAATATGAGACCTGACAATATGTGACCACCGACAAATTACTCAGAAAATAAATGTCGGGAGGATCTTTGTGCGAGCACCAATACAACTGTAGAGGTATGTGAAAATCGTTCTAAAAGTCATAAGAAACATGATACAAGAGCAAAGAAAAAGTATGCTATAAGAGTATAGAAAATGCGTCATGAAAATAGAGAATCTTATATAAAATTGAAAAATTCAAGAAAAAAGGAAAAATAAATGACATAATAAAAATTAAAAAAAATAATCATCGACGATCAATAATCAATTTTTAAAATAATATCGTCATAAAATAATATCGTCGTCCGCTAAACAAAAATTAAATGAAAAGAGAAAGATGATACAAAAAAAATAGGTTAGACAAAAAAAAAGTGAAACCTAAGAATTATTATTATTATTGAGAAATATTTGACCATGTTTGGTGTTGTTTTTAAATGCACTTTGAACTAAAAAAACTCATTTTGACTGTAAAATAAATATTAAACGGGTAAAATATAAAAGCAAAAGTGCAGTGAAAACAATGTTTCAAACCAATTGCAAAAAATTAAGATTTGTAGATTTTTTATTTTTAACTTTGCGTTTACAAATAAATTATAATTTTACTCTTACTAATATATAAGTTTTACTTAATTATGTATTTATATTTTATTTTAATAATTTAATATTAATATCATTTAAAACAATTTATTACTTAATAATTTATTTTAATTATTAAAAAGTAAATAAAATTCATAGTATATATATTAAAATTCATTTTAATTTACAAACAGTAATGTATTTTTTGTAATATTCTTTTTGTCAAAACAAATATTTAAATTGTTATTTAGTAATAGTTTTATATCCTCGTGTTAAAAGGTATTGATAATATTTTTTTATAAAATATTTTATTTATAAAAAAATATTATTAATGAGTTATCTTAAAATACTTTTTATATTTTATTATAGTTTAAGTTGATATATTTTATATATCATAGTATTAATAAATGTAAATATAATTCAAATTTTATATTTTTAATTTATAACATAATGTCTATAATTAACAATTTATCTTTTCAAATTACATTCTAACAATAATCTCAAACTGTTAAATTTTAAATTATACTTTTAAACAATACTTTTAAAAGTTTTTTTCTACCGCACTTTTAAAAGTTATTTTTCAAAAGTCATGCCAAACTAACCCTTAACTATAAAATAAATGCTCAAAATATAGCGCCTTACATGAATAGATGTCTAAACTATTTTTTTGAATGATTCTGGTACCCAACCTTACAAATATTATCACTTTAGGTTTCGGGCCATAAACAACGTTAATTTCCTCCGTTAATAGATACATGTCACACTCAGATAATTTTGAAATAATTTTAAAAAAATAAAAAATATTATATGTATAAAAAACTTTTTCTAAAGTTACAAAAAAAAACCCAAATCCTAACCCAAACCCTAACTCTACCTTTTCCAACCTCTGCCTCCAACACCTTTATTGCCATCTTCGTAGTCGGGCGATGCTGTGGAGTCGTGATGGTTGTCATTTCATTGTGTTCGTCGTCGTTTCGTTGAGGTAGACAAGATAGATTTTGTTGCAATTTTGTCACGATTTTAGGGGTCTTCGGCCGATGTTATGACAATTGTTTGTCAGGTAACTAGTTTTCAGTGGAGGCACGACCAGGTGGAAGTCCAATCGACGCCAATGGTGACGATGGGTGCGACAGATATGGATATAGAGACTAGATTTAGGATTTTTAAAGTTTTGGGGGAGGTTTTTAAGATTTTGAAAATTTTAAACTGTTTTTATATATATAGAAAAATAATTTTTCAAAATTACATAAGGCGACGTGTCATTTAACATAAGAAAATTAACGTCTTTTACGATACGAACATATAAAATAATAACGTTTGTAACGTTAGATACCAAAGTCATTAGAAAAATAGTTTTGATATTTATTCGTGAAGAATGTTATAATTTAGGCAATTATTTTATAATTAAGCAAATAATTAAGCCACTGAGAAACGAATCAACCCCATTTGTTTATCTCTATACAAATCCACGACCATACCAATAAATTCCGTACATATAACCATACAAATATCTAGCGCTCAGGCTCACCCTATTCCTATATATCAACTTCTTTTCCGTTTCCCCATCAAACGAATTCATACAATGCATTTCTTTTATTAACTTAAAATCCTACCCGAAAACACGCCGACGCTGTTTACTAGATTATTTCTTCGTCAAAAAAAAAAGTATATTTCCCCCCATTTTTTTCTTGATTTATTTTACCTTTGATTTGTTTTTTCTTCCTTCAATCATCGAATTATGATTTTTTCTAAGCTTGGTCGATCATATTCCCGAACTTCTCATTCAAGGGCAAGTCTTTATTTTTTCTTCTTATATTTTTCTCACTTTAATTTATTATTTTTTACGATTAATAATCTGTTTTCTGAAAAATAGAAGCTGCTGTATTGTGGCGGCGGAGGTGGCATTACCGGTGGAAGGTCGCCGAGCTTGCCGCGTTTCATCGGAAACGTAGATCAAATAATTGGGCAATCAGGGTATTTTAGAGGATATTTAATTTCAATAGGAGCTGCAAAGGAATTCACTTCAAAGGCTTATTTGTCAGATTTAAATTTCGTTCTTGCTAACCCTAGAATCCGTCGCTTTTTCTCAAGTGAAGCCCCAAAGAAGAAGAGTAACCTAAATATAACCTTTTTATTTATTTCGAATTTTATTGGTTATATAATTTGTTATCAGGTGTTAATGAATGTTACATTTATTACCATTACCTGTTATTAGAAAAACTGAATTATCTCGAGTAATTTGAGGTGAGTGAGTGAAATGGAATAAAGTCTGTTTTATTTTGTTCTAGACGAAATGTACTGTTCTTAAATTTTAGGTGCTAAGCAAGCTCAGGTTTTAGCATTTTCAGGACATTTTACATTGTTTTTTCATATTGATAGTTTGAGGAGTTAATGAAGAAATTGACTTTAGAAAATTTTGGATATTTGTGTTGAGTTGGACTTATAATTTTTACCTTTTTATCGTCTTTTATTATTTGCAGATTATGAAAACTTTTACCCAAAGAAAAAGAAGGAAATTCCAAAGCAAAATGACCAGAAATCTGAATCCAAAGGTGAGTCCATATCAATATCAATTCACAGAGATGTCATGAAGATATCAGTTTGACATCATTTCTGATAGCAACAGTTAGCGTTGTATGTGATATTTCCCCCTTGCAATCTTGTTGTGTGAGAAGCAGAAATATAGGATTTTGAAATTATCTCGTAGAATGATTTTCTTAGCCCTGTAGGCTTATACTATGTTGAGGTTGCTTACTAAAGTATAACACAGTGCCTACCTTTACTTTTACTATTTTAATGTATATAAGTATCATCAATGAATATACTCTTATAGTGCCTGCAGGATATAGCTTGTATAGACTTTAACATTTTTCACTTATTTTTTCTCAATTTCAGAGGATCCCAGCACAGATGACCAATGGAACTTTCAGGAAACTTTCATGAGGCTTTTTCAAAATTTGGTTGTACCTTCGTTAGTTCTTGCATTGTTTCTTTCTATGTTTCCCTGGACTGTTGAGCAGCAACAAGTAAGCAACTCCCAAATGTTTTCACCTTGTTTACTTTCTGCATATTTAAGTGGGTTAGTTTTTACTTTGATTTCACGATGATCTTTTTTCAATGCTTTACGATTCTTATTTTGAGGTTAGAAAATAGATATTACCAGAATGTTGAATCATTTGTATCATTTTATAATCATATGGTAAAAAGCCTCTTTATATTCCTCTGTATTTACTGTGTAACTTTTTGGCTGCATTTAAGCATTTTCCTCCTTTTACAAGTGATTCATATTTTAAAGCATGTCCATCTCTGATTGGGTGTATTTCCCCCTGGTTTTAGCATTCCATGCCATCCACAGTTCAAAGTAACTAGTTAACGTGACATATTTTGTTTTTAAATCTGGATCTAGAATTTAGTATTAGATGGATAAAAGATTTAAATGGGCCAAAATGCATATAGAGTCAGCCCCGTTGCTAGTTTGAAAATTGTATTCTTACTTCCACATTTGTTTGGCTTCTAAATATAAGCAAAGTTCATCTATTTTCTAAGCTTTGCTATGGAAATCTTTCTTGCAGATTAGTTTCCAGGAGTTCAAGAACAAACTTCTGGAACCAGGTTTTGTTGACCATATAATTGTTTCTAATAAGTCGGTTGCAAAAGTGTATGTGAGGAACACACCATACAATCAAACAAGCGACAATGTTCTCCAAGGTCCTGCTAATGGTACTTCTGTCAGAGGACATGGAGGTGAATACAAATGCTTCTTCACTATTGGAAGTGTTGAGTCTTTTGAGGAGAAGTTGGAAGAAGCCCAAGATGCTTTAGGGATTGACCCACATGATTATGTTCCTGTGACATATGCCTCTGATGTTATGTGGTACTAGGAGTTGATGAGGTTTGCACCTACATTATTACTTCTTGGAACCCTTATTTATATGGGCCGGAGAATGCAAGGTGGACTGGGTGTTGGTGGAGGTGGTGGTAAGGGTGGCCGTGGAATTTTCAATGTAGGAAAAGCCCATATAACCAAAGTGGATAAAAATTCCAAGAATAAGGTTAGTTTTCTGTTTTGACTCCTGTTACATAAAAAGTAAAAACAGAATATGAAAAATTTCAGCTTTCTTTGTCTTTATTACCTAAATTCGTTGACCTGCTTTTCTTTGTGTTGCTAGAATATGAGAAGGTCCTTGGTCATTATTTTCCAATATTTTCTGCTTCTGATCTGTGTAGGTCTATTTCAAAGATGTTGCTGGCTGTGATGAGGCAAAACAAGAGATCATGGAATCTGTGCACTTCCTTAAGAACCCAAAGAAATATGAGGACCTAGGAGCTAAAATTCCAAAAGGTGCTCTGTTGGTGGGTCCTCCAGGTACAGGAAAGACTCTCCTAGCAAAAGCTACTGCTGGTGAGTCGGGTGTACCTTTTCTATCAATATCAGGTTCTGATTTCATGGAGATGTTTGTTGGTGTTGGACCATCGAGGGTGAGGAACTTGTTCCAAGAAGCAAGGCAGTGTGCTCCTAGTATAATATTTATAGATGAGATTGATGCAATTGGTCGGGCACGAGGTCGTGGCGGTTTCTCAGGTTCTAATGACGAGCGTGAAAGTACGCTTAATCATTACTAGTAGAAATGGATGGATTTGGAACTACGTCGGGTGTTGTTGTGCTTGCTGGTACTAATAGGCCTGATATCTTAGACAAAGCTTTATTGAGGCCAGGGCGATTTGATCGCCAGATTTCAATAGATAAACCCGATATTAAAGGCCGTGAACAGATATTTCTGGTTTACTTGAGAAAGATAAAGCTTGATCATGAGCCATCATATTACTCTCAAATACTTGCAGCTCTCACTCCTGGCTTTGCTGGAGCAGACATTGCAAATGTTTGTAATGAAGCTGCTCTAATTGCTGCAAGGAGTGAAGGGGCACAGGTCACAATGGAACATTTTGAGGCTGCTATAGACAGGATCATTGGTGGTCTTGAGAAGAAGAACAGGGTAATTATCTTAGTTGTTTTTCTTTTCTGTGATTATCTATTATCCTTGAGAATATTGATATTAGAACCTATGTCTTCGTTCAATTAACATTGCCTCTTTACCAGACATTAGTATGAGATGGTGATTATTGCATTGCATGTTATGTCCAGGGTTGTGATTGATAACTTCACATCATTATTTTATGTCTCCATTTTTCTTCTATCCACTCTAATAACAGGAATCTTCTGGGTCTCAATCAGGTAATCAGTAAACTCGAGCGGAAGACAGTTGCTTATCATGAATCAGGTCATGCTGTTGCAGGCTGGTTCTTGGAACATGCTGAACCCCTCTTGAAAGTGACAATTGTTCCTCGCGGTACAGCAGCACTTGGATTTGCCCAGTACGTTCCAAATGAAAACCTTCTCATGACAAAAGAGCAGCTTTTTGATATGACGTGCATGACCCTCGGTGGCCGAGCAGCTGAACAGGTAAATTTGAAACTTTCTATTTCCATGTGGTTGAGTGCAAATAGAAACACGAATTCATCAAAATATTTACTTGAATGCTCCCTTTTTGGTTTGTCATGTTTTATATTCCAGATACCGAAATATTCCAACACTGAGGCACAGACTAGAACTAGAAAACTATACCATTTTTTCCCATGATTCAGGTTTTGTTGGGAAAGATATCAACCGGTGCTCAAAATGACTTGGAAAAGGTGACTAAGATGACCTATGCTCAGGTGGCAGTTTATGGCTTTAGTGACAAGGTGGGTCTCCTCTCTTTTCCTCAGAGAGAGATGGGCTTGAGATGTCGAAGCCCTATAGCAATAAGACGGGTGCTATCATTGATAGTGAAGTGCGCGAGTGGGTGGCCAATGCATATGAAAAAACAGTGCAACTTATAGAGGAACAGAAAGATAAAGTAGCTGAAGTTGCCGAATTGTTGCTCAAAAAGAAAGTTCTTCACCAAGATGATCTGATTCGAGTTTTGGGGGAACGACCATTTAAATCGAGTGAAGTTACAAACTATGACAGATTTAGGCAAGGGTTTGAAGATGAAGAAACCAAGACCACGCAAACCCCAGAGGGTGGAGCTGCGGATGATAATGGATCTGCACCCCTTGTTCCTCAGGTTGTTCCAATTTGATCCTTGATGGAAGGCTATCCTGATTTTTGTACATTTGAGTCAATAAATTATTTCAATTTTCCGCTACTGTTTTATACAATAGCCATTACTGACCATTCTGGACTCTGCTTTTAACATGTATTATTTGTACATTATTTAAGGTGTCGACATTAGATGCGAAATCCAGATTCATGTCTTAGTTTAGGTAATTAAAAGAACTATGAAATAAAACATATTTTAGTTACATTTATACTTTCTTTTTCTTTCTGTGTGGCCGGCAGAAACAATTGCCCAAAAATATTAGGCTGTGAAGAGGAGAGTAATTAACATAATTCCTTTTACTATTAATTATAATAAAAAAAATATGTACTCATTATATTTTCGTGTGGATGGCAGGCAGCTTATTGATTTTAACTCTTCATCCATTAACCATAAGATTTATACTTGGCCTTGTATGTATAGGAATGCTAAAATAATTTGTTCCATGTAATTTGTTGTATTTTTTCTTAAAAAAATTGTAACATCAGTTTATTTATGATGCATTTTAATATTCAGATGAGATCCATATATTTTTGGATAGGTATATTTTATTATCAATTGATTGATTGTTTTTTTTTTATATTTTCTAATATATCTTAAGATACATTAATTCAATATACATTTTCTATTAAAAGATTTAGATAAATTATATTTTAACTTGTTTTATTATATTATATTTATACTTTGAATATATTATTTTATTTTTAATTTTTTATTGAATTAATATCTGTTTAACCCTAGTCACTTTCTCCCTTCTCATTTCACTTTTCTTTCTTTATAATTTGTGTTATTTTTTTATAGATCGAATTAAATTTTTTTATTTTGTTTAGTTGCAATAATACCGGTTTTGATATTGATTGTTAACCGTCGGTTGTCTTTTATCTTTGTTTTTTTTAAAGTTTTTTAATAATAATAATTATGATTGTGACATGTTTATCTCTACCTCTGTGTCACGTTTTTCTCTGCCTTTTGGTAGTTTTCGTTCGTTTGACTATTATTTTCGTTTATATTTTTTCTCAGGGTTGGATTTGACATCACCATAACTGATCAAGATGTCACTTATTTATTATCATGTTGATCTTCCCTTCTTTGGACTTGGATTGATTTGAATCCATGTTTTGCGTTTGTGGATAGTTTTCTCACACCGCTTGACTCTGATTTGCGATTTATCGATGGTCTTTCAGTAGCTTCATCGTCTTTTGTGGTTCGTTTGTCGATGCAACAACTTGTCTATATCTTTATTTTATTCAAGCATTTTGGTTAGGTTTTTTTAACATTTTAATTCTTTAGTCCCTGTGGCTAGTTTTTGTGTCAATGATTATAAGAAAATATACTAACTATAATTTAATTTAGGGTTACACTTGTAAATCATTATTGTAATTATGAATATTTCTATTTTTAATAAAACTAGCGGTTCTTTTAAAAAGGAACATATTTTCATGAATCAATTAAGTTAGTGCTTTTGAATCATTATTCAATAAAAAAATTAAGTATTATTCTCTCTAAATATCCTAACTTCAAGCAGTTATGTTATTGGTGTCACCGTAGACTATTAAAAAGTATATAATTTATGTAATGTATATAAGACAAGACCTTTTGAATCATTATTCAATAACAAAATTTTTGTTAGGAAATTTGTGATTTTTCATTTTTGTTGTATGGAGGTAAAATTTTTATTTAATTTTTTAAAAAATGAGTCTATGCGCAATTAACGCATTAATCAAACATAATCCGTAATTAAGTTCAGCCGCAGAAGTAGTGCTAGAAAGGCCTTCCTTCTAAAACTTGAATCCATCAATGGCCCATTTAGATTGGGTCAATTAGTGCTGCAGAGACCCCACGATTCAATTCATCATCCCCGGGATGACAAAAGTTGAAGCCCTAAATTAACTCTGATAAAAGTAGAACTAAACGAAAAGTGATTTCCCTTCCCTAATCCTAAACCCTCGTTTTCGTTTCCTCCTGTTTCCCTCTTGCTGAAAATTTTTCCCTTCTTGCAGCCATAAGAGAGAAAATAAGTAATTCAAATATCTAACTCCAACCTTGGCTCCTTAAATGGCGAAGCGGGAGCTCTCCAGTACTTTGAGGGGCTTGAAGGTAACCTAAGAGCAAGAAGCTCTTTTCGTTTTTAGTAGTTTTGTTCCTTGATATTTTTGGGTTTTGCTTTAATGTATCTGGTTTTATACTATTATTGTTTTGTTGATTTTCTATTGAATTTGCAAAAGAAAAAGTTTTTTGTTGTATAGATTCCGTTGTCTCTTATGGAGTTATTTGAAATTTGAACTTGGCCTTGTTTAATTCATCTGGATTTCGTTTATTTTGTTTTGTTTTTCAAGGTGAAAAAATGTTATCTTTTAACTTGTTTGGGTTCTGTTTTTTTGTTCCATTTCATGCAATAATAGTTCATGCAAAGGGCAGCTCAGAGAGAGGTGAAAGTGGTGAAGGAAGAAGAGGTTAAACCTGAAGGAATTAATAGTATTGCTAGAAAATGGTACTAAAAATTCCACCCTTTGTTTTTAAATTATCTTTATTATTATACATTATTCTTTCCTCAGAAATTTTTTAGATTTAGTTATGATATGATATGAGCCTTTGGCATTATTATGCATCAGTATGATTGCATATAGGGTATACTTAGAAGTTAGAATGTTCCATGAACTTGTACATAAAGGCAAGAGAGAGAGAATGGATTGTTGATATATACATTTTTTCCTGGTAGTTGAAGATTCTTTCAATGCTGATAGTCGGAGTTGATGCTTGAACTTATACTACTTGTAGGATCTGCTTGCTTGACTATTCCTATTTTCAACTTGTTTTAACCTTTTTTGCGAACATTCAGTGTGGTCATTATGGAAGGGGATCCTCGTCCAGGAGCAACTGTTGGGCGGATGTCATTTCAAAGTTTCAATCCTTCTATTGATGTGAGTATAAAGGTCAAGTGACCTAGGAATTTTGTCTGATGATGTCTTTTCACTTAATGTGGTTCTCTTGTCGCTCTTGTCCTCATCTGAATGCCTTGTCTTGGTAGAAACTGAATGAACCGGCATCAAATGATTGTAGACCAGATGCCAGTGGTGGAAGAGCCTCATCTAGGTACGGCTTTCTTTTTCCCCCTTTTCAGGGTTGGTGTTAATGTTCCAGTATTTCCTGGAAAATTTTTATAATTATTATTCTATTTGTGTCATATTTGTAAGTCTTAAATGAAAGATGTTAATCCAAATGAATAATTCTTAAACGAAAATCCTAATTAAAAATATTAGCAAGGGGCCTGCAATGGAAGAAATATGGGCATGTTGAGATGGAAATGCTAGTCACATGTATAGGTGTAGTTCACGTCGGGGGCATGTTTGCACAAGTTGCGTAGTTTATCTGACCTTTTGTCCTTGAATCGCAACAGTGAAAATGGATATGAATCTGAAGCAACCGACTGCTCAAAAGTTGGCACTGATAAACACAAAGGTAATGGAGACCTTAAGAGAAAACAGTCCGACATGGTTTCGAAACCAGCTTATCCGAATAAATCACCAAAAAACGGTAATGCTGTTCAGTCATCACCAAGCAGCAGCAAAGCCGCCTCCACAAAGCAGTCAAAGCATGAGAAGCTAGACTGGAATGTTCTTAAGCCACCAAAGCCTAATCGGTGATCCAAATTTTGAAATTGTCTTCAACAGAGCGAGCACATTAATATTTGTTTTCATGCTCCCTAAAGTCTGTAACTTTGTTGTCATATTATTAAAGATCAGCTTATTTTCAGATTTGTTCATTTTAGCAGTTAATATTTTACAAACTTCACCAAATTGAATGATGACTCAACTGAATCTAATAAGCTTTTGAAGAAAGTAATGGTTATACGACAATCTCGAGATTTGTTTATTTACTGTTAAACTTGCATCTTTTTTAACTAATCATCACGGGTCATTGCTGCCAGGTTTCCAACAAGAAAGGGCATAAATAACTCTCCCCTTCCATCCCGGCAGCATCCGATGGCCATCCAAATCTAAACCAAAATCTCTATGATAATTACATTGGACCAAATTACTCACTTTCTTCACCAGCTCCTGATCCCAAGGAACCTGCTTGAACCCTGCCGTCACAGTCCTCGCCTGCCATTGCTTGTACGTTTCTGGTCTTTCAACCCTCTCACTGCCCTCGCATGCAATGACATTCATAACGTCCCTTCCAAGCACTTCCTTCTCAAACATCATCCTTCCTGGATCTTCTCGAGAAACATTAGCTTCAAATATATTGAACTTAGCAGAGAAATGGAAGAGTGCTTCTCTGAATCTCGTGACAAAGAATGGAGCGTTATACATCCCACTTTCAATTCCATGGATGAATAACTCTGGGTTAATGCTTCTGATCAGCTTCAGAACAGTGTCCCTTGCACTGGTCGAAGCCATTGTGTCATCCGGGAGGTTCTTTAGCCGATACATGCAGTTAACAACCACCACTTCGCCTTTGTTAATCTTTAGTTCTTCGAGCCAGATGGTTTTCCATTTCTTTGCTATCATGATGTACTCAAATGGAACATTGAATCTCTCGCAAAACCTTTTCAAGCGATTCCCTGTCTCCTTCGACTCTTTCTGAAGGTCGAAGACCTGCTTGGGGAAACTCGGTTCCAGTAATACGAAGCTTGGGAGGTCCACCAGACCTTGCTGAGAGACGTCGAATAAGGCAAGGCCATTGGAACCCATAGCAAATGCCGAAATCAATGATGTGGAGCGTGATTGCCGTTTCTGCAATTTCCATTATCTTTTTATTTGCATAGAAGTTCGACATTTTCTTAAAAGGACAAGCTGAAACATACAAGCGTAAGCTTTCAAGACATCAGCAGCCGAAGTCTTGTTGCTTAGCAGATGTAAATAGGATGGTGCACCCAAGCCAGCCGAACGAGTTTTAAGTGCATTAGCAAAGTAATATGCCAATCTTTGGGTTCCGTCTCCGGTATCAGAAGAGTGTTGACTTATCTGTTCCAGCAGCACATTGGCAGTTCTTCGGACATTGATGGCTACAGATTGTGCACACTGAGTTAGGAGACTCCACAAATCCATCACTTCACTCTTCTTTCCGTTGTTCTTCCTGCGTGACACTGTTCCACCATTGTTAAACCCTTTCAGCTGCGAGTTCCCATGAAGAAACCACTTTGGGTAGTCCTCGTTTTCTCCTTAGCAAAGCAATACCTCGTCAAACATCTCCAACTCGTGCCTGGTGATGACGCTGAACCATCAGGAATATTAACAAGGTCATGATTTGTAAACAGATCAAATTTGAAATCGAGTAAATCTTGGAAATAACTATCCTGGTAAAGTTGGAAACTCATCTTGAAGGTAAAATTTTGAAGAGAAAATGAATGTTGGTTCAAGAAGGGAATATATAAAATGAAGGAACCAAAACTGAGAAGAAGAGTAGTCAATAAGCCAAGTAAAGAAACTATATAATGTCCTTGTCTGAAGAAATAAAACTGAAAATTCTCTTCACTTATAATGCTCAAGCTGATAAGCTTTTCTGAGTGAACCTTCGAGAAAACTACTGTTATGGCAGTTTCGTTTTGAGACAGATTATGTGTGTCATCAAGGAGGAAATTGACTTCTTTGAAGACAGGCTTATTTGATCCAGCAACTGATGTTGTGTTAGATTATATTTGTATATATTTTTAAAGTTAATTACTTAAATTTATAATATAACTTATTAACTTCGTACATGAGATAAAATCTTGCATTTGTCTTTGCATAAGGATATCTTTGTCTGAAGAATCGTTATTCAGTCCAATTACCTATTTAAGAGCAGGGTGACTCAGAAAGAACGCCCATAGATTCACTGTCCAGTGATTCTTTGGTGCTTAAATAGGCTAGTTGTGTTCTATTTATGCTTAAATTTGATAAGTTGATGAGCAAATGACTGAGATATCCCAACAAATGAAGTTTAGTGGTCCACTTGTTCATCAAGCATGCATATTCGGGGGATGAGCTCAGTAATTTTCAGATTAATCTGAGTTCAATCAAAGTTGAAAAAAGGGTAAAATAACATTTCAAATCTCCATTAAATGAATCTTACCCACTTGATTTAGGCTTTATTTGAAATCAGAAAGGGAGTCACATCTCATCCCATTAGAGACTGAAAGCACCACTGAATCTTTACGGATGAAGAAGAAAAAGAAAGTCTTTCCAAAGTTCAAACAAAGCATTTAATATATAAATTATAAAACCAACAACAAAACAACTTTGCATTGGACTGTAGCTTGATGCTGAAAGTTTTTTGTTTATAGCCTCCAAGCAAGGAAAAAATAGCTCAAATCACAGATCTGGGATGGGTCAAAACTCAAGAACAAATCTTGAAAACCCAAGTTTTAGATTTCTCATGACCACATAAACCAGCTAGATTAAACTTTTTAATTTTTAAACTATTTTACTTCGATGTCATAGATTTCATTGGCAATACAGAAATGTCATCTATATTAGTGAAATAGAAGAAATAAAGCAGATTAGTCCTGGACCGGTTTCCAGCAAGAAAGTGCATGGATTACTCTCCCTTTCCATCCTTGAAGCATCCATCGTCCATCCACTTCAATATCAAAATCCTTATGGTAGTCTGATTTCAACACCGTTCTTGCTCTTTTCAATATCCTCTGCTCTAATGGAAGCTGTCTGAAACCAGCTTTCTTGTTCCTCAGCTGCCATTGCTTGTATGTTTCTGGTCTATCGATTCTCTCCGTCCCTTCACATGTGATGACGTTAATGGCGTCCCTTCCAAACATTTCTCTTTCAACTAGCAATCTATCTGGATCTTCACCGCCTACATTGGCTTCCAGTATGTCGAACATTGCCGAGAAGTGGTAGAACGCCTCTTTAAACCGATTGTTAAAGAATGTGACATTGTAATTACCATTAACAACTCCGTGGATGAAAAGATCCGGATTGATTTTCTTTATCAACTTCAACACCATGTTCCTTGGACTGTTTAACATGACCGAATCATCGGGGAGATTCCTTAGCCTGTACATACAGTTAACAACGATCAACTCGTCTCTCTCGATCTTTAGCTCCTCGGCTCGGATGGTTTCCCATCTTTTTGCTATGGCATTGAACTCGAACGGCATGCCAACATTCTCACAACATCTTCTTAAACGACGACCCGTCACTTCGATTCTTTCTGCAGGCCGGAAACCGGGTTGGGGGAAGTCGATCCCCGTGATGCGAAGCTTAGGTGGTCCACTGGTCCTTGTTGAGAGGCGCTGGATAAGGCAAGGCCATTGAAAACCGTAGCCAATGCCGAAATCAATAATATGGATTGTTGTTGCCTTCTCTGCTAGCTTTGCAATGTTTCGATTGGAAAACAAATTCGATATCCTTTTGAAAGGGCAAACTGAAACATATAAAATGTGTGCTTTCAAGACGTCAGCAGCCAATGTGGCATTGGTTGAAATGGGGGTAAATAGAGGTGCCCTGGTGCCACTTAAGCGTATTTCGAGACCCTTTGCAAAGTAATAAGCCAACCTCTCGGTTCCATCACCGTAAGGAGAAGAGTAGTGCCTGATCTTACCGAGTAGCTCGGTTGCACTTCTTTGGTCATAAACGGCAACAGCTTGTGCGCATTGGCTTAGCAGACTCCACAAATCTACCATTTCCTTTTCATTACCAGCTTGTTTCTTTGCAGGTGGTCTTCTAGTGTTGGCTGCTCTATTCTGTGATGCTTCATAAAGAGGACATGACGACAAGGGCACACCATTCTCTGTCTTAACAAGGAAAACCTCGTCGAACATGTGTTCATCGTATGAATCTTCAGCAGCCATTGCCAAATGCTTGTTTTTCCTCATTTCTTCCGAACATTCATTCCCCCACGATGTGTTCAGTGTGTGCTTCCAGACTTTCTTCTGTGATTCAGTTTGTATCGCCACGTTCTCTTGCTGATCGTAATTCTGAGTTAGAACATCATAGAAAGCTTTCTCCTTAGCTTGGAGAGCTAAACAATCCTGCAACATGCAGGGCCTGCCCTCCACATCTTCTTCCATAAGCACATCATTTATGAAGTTCAACACAGCATATGAAAAATCGATGTTTTCATTCCCATATGGGGAGTTCCCATCTGAATCGGAGGAACCCGAAGAGGATGAAACAACATGAAGGAGATGGTTGTTTGATTTGGCTCCATTAACAGGATTCTGAGCCATGCTGGAACGAAGATGACGACTCAGGGCTCTGATTTTACTACAAAAGCAATAATTGTGTGAAGCTTCTTTGAAAGTCCAAGATAAGACCAAACCCAACAGCCGCTGGTAATAACAACTAACAAGCTGAACATTCAACGGAGGACAAACGGAAGGGCACTTAATTGACTTTGAGGATCACCTAAATTTATTTGTCTTGAATCACATATCGAGCCACAGAAGATTACACTCACTCCATTATTAATTCTTATACAAAACAATGGTATTGCTAGGTTAATTGAACTTGAAAAAGCAAATGACCGCCCTGTTTGAATTCTCCGACTTCTGTTTCCTTTTGTTGAATATATTATTCAGATGACTGTTGTATATTATATTATATTATATTATATTATATTATATTATATTATATTATATTATATTATATTATATTATATTATATTATATTATATTATATTATATTATATTATATTATATTATATTATATTATATTATATATCGAATCTCTCATATATCTTATTAATTCAACTTCCACTACACTTATTTTAATCGTTTATATTGTATAATGATAACGAGATTTTGATTATTTTAATTAAATTTAATGTGCTGATGGGGACATAATCTTGGCAGATAAAGATGTACATAAAATTAAGGGTGTGCAAATCCTATTCGAATAATTTTTTTTTTCAACTGCATTATTTGAGAAATTCAACCCTTGGTCGGTGTTCGACTCGGATGTTGCGAGTATCTGGTAATCGGATACCCGAATTTTGTGGGTATCTTTTTTTATTTTTAAATTATTAATTTAAAAAAAATATACACAAATTTAAATGTTCGAAACTTCAAATTACATAATCCAACATTCGAACATAAAATTTAAAAGTTCAAAATAAAAAATCTAATAATTCATAATATAAATAATCTATTATGTATATATATAATAATAATAATAATAAAAATAAAAACTAATCGTGTACTCGGATATCTGGGTACCTGGAAAAATACAATTTTATGGCACGGGCCCGACCCGAAAAATGTCAGGCCGGGCAGCCGACCCGGTTTGATAATTTTATTTATAAAATTATCTGATTTTTTTAATGTTCGGGTCGACGTGTCAGGTCAAACAGGTCAGATATTTTTCACACCCCTGCGTAAAATCCGATTAGAGACTTCATGGGAAAAATGATTTCTGAGTAATTAGTGTCTCAATCATAATAATTTTTATATTTGTAATGATGTGGATAGCATCTCACTTTCCTTAAAGATTATAGCTTTATCATGTATGGGGGAAATGTCCAAATAGTGAAAAAGAGAAAATGGTGACAATTGACAAAGTTGTGGGACATCATTCAATCTGGATTAAAGTTATATGATTACCCTTTGCAAATGGGGTTTACACTTGTTTAGAAATAATTAAAATGATTTTTCACAAAATTTATCTATTTTTTACTGTTTTAATTTTTCAATTTCTTTCGACGATTATTCAATAAAATTAAGTTTAAGACATGATGTTTGTCTTTTCAAAAGTTCATTTTTTATTATTAAGATTTTTAAACACTTTGTATAGGGCCGAACTTACCATTCGTTGGGCCGTATTAATTGTTTTGAGAAGAGACTTTTTAACGCTTGAAGTAATTCCTTGGGCTAAGACCCGATAACTGATTTTATCTTAGAATGATATGTTTCTATAAATTCATAGTAGAATTATTATGATAGACAAGGCAGCTCTCCGGCAGCGGCTGCTGCTGGGACCAGTGGGTGTGTGCATTTAGGACCCTGTCCAAGAGTTCTTGTGGCACCGGCTCTCCCCGCCTTTGCTGCGGGGATATCCTTGCCGTGTGCTGTAGTGTTTTCCACTCATCCTACAAGAGCCCAATAAATACCATTACAACCACAATAAAATACTTTTCATCTACCTATCAGGATGTCTACGAAACAACTTGGTTCCCTTCTTCAACCGAAAGACCACAAGCAGCAGAAAGTTCCAGCAAGCCAATAGCCATATTATAAACATACAATTGTATTAAGATAAAACCAAAAGAAATGAAGTTGCATTAGGTCACTTGGTAAAAGGAATATATATATATATATATATATATATATATATATTGTAAGAAATCATGCACCATTAAGATTCAAGAGATCCCTTGTAGTGTTGTTATCTTACAGATAAAGGTACAAAGTTGATAAAAACTTGTAAAAACCACTAATCGTGAACTTGCTGTATAAGCAACTCGGGATATGGTGGTCCGAGCTGTAACCCAGACCTTTTGAATCTCAAACAAAAGATTTAAACAAAGAACCACTGGAAACCAACAAATGATCCTATATAAGGCATGAAAATATGATAACAAGACATGAATGAGAAGCAGTTTCATCGGCATTCAGCAGGTCAAGAGATTAGCCCAAAATAAGGACATAAACAGTTTTGCAGTGGTTTTATGGAAGTCCTTACCTTCAAATCAACATAAGTGCGATGCTTTGCGATATCAAAAGCTCTTAATTTAACATCACGCCACCTGCATTAAAACCGTGACCATATGTCTAACCACATAAATAGGCCCACAGTTTCTAATTAATATCCAGCAAACTCCTGCAAGTAAAGTAAAGAGCAAGTGGCGAAGAAAACAGCATTTGAAGCATCTTCTTTCTGATTACATACTTTTCTTTGGAGCAAGCATTCGCGCAAAATTCTGATTGGGTATCATGATGAATTGATTGAAAATTAGCAAAGAAGCAAATTTCAAATACTCGGGCAGAGTTCAACTGCTATTCATCGTTTCTTCGTTAGGTTCAAACATACCTTCCGGTTCCAAGTTTCTCAACAGCTTGAATCAAGGCTTCAACTTCAGAAATAGAGAAAGGTCGACGAATTCTTCGATGGGCAACATCAGATTGCTTGGGTTTCTTATGAGCTTGACCCACGGCTAATGTCTCCATGCTCATTTCAGGTAGCAATGCTTTAGATTCAGTTGTGCTTTTGTCAAACATGTCGGTAGGTGAGGACGCACAATCATTATAGCTTTCAATAAAGTTGCCCGAATTAGGCATGCGAGGCTCAGGTGAGGGGTCGCAAGTAACCTGATTAACTAAATCGGTATTTGCTGGATACGTGGCAAAAAACAGTATTAAATCATAAACTGAAACTGTACAGTAACCAAATACTCTTACTTGATCTGATGATCAAGAGTATTTGTGAGAGATATGAATAAGAATCTTGAAGAAGACAATGTCAGCCACCTCTTCAAGGCTAACACCTCTTAAATGAGAATACTGTTATCAGACAAAAAGTCGACCTCCTTTTCAAGGAAGCATTAGGAGAAAAAAGTAGGATCCTAGAAGATCAAGATTCTAATAGTTTCCAGTAATTGCAACATTATCCTTTTTTTCCAAAAATAAAAAGAAACCACTTGGTTAAAAAGACTTTTCTTTTCTCTATGTTTAGCGCTAGAAAACAACAAAATGAGACCATATCACACACAAGTAGATATCTGCTAAACTTCTAAAACTATTTTGATTACCAGGTTAAACTAGTGGAGTGTCACAGGGAAGTTTTAAGGGAGAATCTCCAGGGTTAGGCTCCAGACTAAAACCCAGAGCATCCATATGATTATCACAAGAAATTCCTGTCTGCAGCAGAGTTTTATTGTCATCCCTAACCTTCTTTCCTTGAAGAAGTACACCAACACACAATCCATCTCCAAGTATCGCTGTCACTACCTCCATTACAGTCATCTACAGATCAATTTCCCATTATTAGAGGGAATGTAATGACCAAGCAAGCCGGTAGATGAGATCAGACAGTGGAATTACAATTTATGAAAGAAACTGCCCAAGCATCCATCACGGGTTGAAGTAAGATGGTGCTCTAAGGAAGAAATACAAATGCTGATAATGACACCAATACAACAGACATAATTCTTCAAGGTTCAAATGTACCAAAAAAAATCCAAGAAATATCTTTAAGCATTCTGCTGTCAAATTACGGAACAGCAGTCAAACGTTCTACTTCTACCACAATGATCAGAATCATAGATCATTATACCTTCAATGAACCAACAGTTGCAGATTCTGGAATTTCAATAAAGAATTCAGGCACCCTGAAGATGATTCTCTGGTGACTGCAAAAGGTTTAGAACCAATACGCAAAATGCTTATGTCAGCAATAAACACCAAGAAACGAAACTAATATTTAGAGATGAAAAGTACTTAAGTCACCTCCATGCATATTTGAATATAGAATGGAAGCATTTTTGGTGAATCAGAAATGCCATCACTGCCGGTTCCTCCATCCGAATTAACTCTGAGCTACAGTAAGAAAACTACAATTTTTTGAAAGGATAGTTCCTTCCAGCTCTTAAGCGCTTATAACCACTCCTATTGCAGTAACCAGACTTCAAGTTCTTATTTGAAGAATCAATATATCCATTTATTTAAAAATTACACGTCTCTACATTACTAGCCAAACCTCCCATTTCATTCTTGATTTTGCCGTTCATCAACTTCTGAGCATCAAATCTTTCTAAGGAATCAGGAGTTGCTACAAGGGAAATATTTCGAAGACCAGGGGATTCATTAGAACTAGTTTGGGGAACAAATTCAGAAACAAAGAAATCAGCATTTGCGCTGTCTTTGATTGGAAATTTCAAGCTTCAACGACTGATTTCCATCCACCCTTTCCTTTTTCACGGTATTGTTTCAACTGCATGCTGATCTTCAGCACTCCATGTATGATTCGAAGCAAGATCACTTTCTTTATCTAGAAAAAACTTTCCGGCTACAGTGGCCAGCAAATCAAATGCACTTATCTGGTTGCTTTCAACTTTCTTTACAAATGGAACTCTTTTCTAAAGAAAAGGAGTAACAGTAGCTATTTAAACTAATATTCACAAGTAAAATAAAATCAATCAATGCCTCTAGACTAAACTTAGACCCTGATTCGAGATGAATGCAAGAGTTAATCTAAATGACGTATATAATTAAATAATAAAAAAAACACTACCATTTTAGAAATAAGTAAATAAACATAATAAAGAAGTAGCAAAAATCCATGTCACTCCGAATTTTCCCCTCCAACTATTAAAAAGTAATTCAAAAAGTTCCATATTATCTGCTCGGAAATGGAAAATCCATACATCAAACTTCAGATGCATAAAATCATGAAGTTCTCTTCTTCTTTTTTTCCTTTCAAATTCTCTGTTCAA